TGAAAAATTCTGATTTATTATAAAATACACTACCTGACTAAAGTATTGTCGTTTCTCAGTTGTAAGAGCAACGTTTAATGATGTCTTGTTGATCATTTGAAAAAAAGTGGCAGAAGGTGGATTTTTCTGATGAATCATCTGTTGAGCTGCATCCCAATCATCACAAATACTGCAGAAGACCTACTGGAACCTGCATAGACCAACAATTTTCACAGAAATCAGTCAAGTTTGGTGAAGTGAAAATCATGGTCTGGGGTTATATTCAGTGTGGGGGCGTGCAAGTGATCTGCAGAGTGGATGGCAACATCAACAGCCTGAGGTATCAAGACATTTGTGCTGCCCATTATATTACAAACCACAGGAGAGGGACAATTCTCCAGCAGGATATCGCTCCTTCTCATACTTCAACCTCCACATCAAAGCTCCTGAAAGCAAAGAAGGTGCTCCAGGATTGGCCAGCCCAGTCACCAGACTTAAACATTATTGAGCATGTCTGGGGTAAGATGGAGAAGGAGGCATTAAAGATAAATCCAAAGGATCTTGATGAACTGTGGGAGTCCTGCAAGAACGCTTTCTTCACCATTCCAGATGACTTTATTAATCAGTGATTTGAGTCATGTCAGAGATGTATGGATGCAGTCCTCCAAGCACATGATGGAGTCAGACACAATATTCATTCTTTCTCCACTGCAGCATAACTTTATATTCTATACTGGACATTATTCCTGTTAATTGACAAGACTTTTGTCTAAGCAAAGTCAGACCTTACTTTCTTAATTAAATAATTAAAAATCATGGCATGATCATATTTTATTTTGGAAAAATAAGCGTAATCTAGAGGCCTTTACCTTTTATTTAAGCCACTTCTGATACCAAATGATCAACTAGAAGTCAAGTTATTATTTGTTGTTCTTAAAACTTGGATAATAGTTAAGATGTCTGTCAGGTAGTGTACAGCAAAACACTAAAAAATACTTTTCATAATTCAAAATGGTATGAGGAATAGTTTGCCCAAAAGCCGACAGTAGAAAAAAGTCAAACTTTTCAATGTGACTTTCACAAACACCCATATTGTTCTTGTGTCTACACTATCGAGCCATACCATCCTTCCTGAAATCAATTGAATGTTTCACACACACACACACACCTACGTCTGACTGTGTAGATCACAGCGGATGATGGAGGACGCGAGCGCTGCATTAAAGAGTCATGAGCAGGCCTGACTGCAGGGGAGCTCACGCTGCTTTCTGCTGACTCACTGTTTTACTTCAGCATTTTCCTCATGCGAAGAGACAAAGAGCCACAGCAGCACAGCCATTTCTCTAATTCTTCTCACCGCCTGCAGCCTATGGAGCCCTTTGAGATCATAGAGCTGAATCCGAAACACAACTTTAATGAGAATGACTTGAGGATGTGGCCTGAAGAGACCCGTGCAGATCTGGCTTTCTTCTCATTAAAGCTCTCTCAGAATGAGCGCAGGTACTGCCTATATATCAACATTCCCACATTATGCTAATTCGCTTCTTGCTGTTTGAAGGATAACGTGCGCAGGTGGATGAGCCATGCTCTTTTATTTGTAGGAACAGAAGGAGATAGAGGAGAAGATCGTGGGGAAGTATGCCAAACACAAACGCCTGCATCAAGGGTCAAACTATTGATGGTGGCTTTGCTTTTAAGTGAAAAAAAGATGTCCATTTCTTTATGCTATAGGCTACCAAATATTGTATAGTATACAAATAGCCAGAGGTGGGTAGAGTGTCCAAAATCTATACTCAAGTAAAAGTACTTGCCGAAATTTCTACTCAAGTAAAAGTAGCTATCTTAAAAGTTACTCGAGTAAAAGGAAAAAAGTATTTGATGAAAAAATTACTCAAGTAAATAGTTAGTTACTTTTTATTATATATACTAAGTGTGCCGCAAGCCTGCTTTTGAGTGAAGGTCTCGGCCGTTAGATCGCCTCCTGGGGGCTGGCTGCAGTACAAGTCATAAAGCCTGCTTCCTCCGTGTTAATGAAGGAGACTTGAACCCAAATAA